ATATATAGATATATATATATTTATATATATAATATACTGATGTATACATGTACATATATATGTGTGTGTGTCTACCGACGTGTGCAAGTTTCTACCTGTGTGTAGTTATGCAGTATATTTTGTGGCGCATATACATGTTCACATATGTGCATTAATGATGTATCGTGATAGCAATTCGGTGTGTGTTTGCTGAGAATGCTTGATGGGGGCTTGTTATCCAATCGATTCGCGTACGGGTGTGAGCTATCTTCAGATATATTTGGACTTTCTGGTCGCGAGTCAAGCAACAGTCTTGGAGCGCTTATCAAGATTGATGACAAAGCAGTAGCCTATGTAAGGGAGATCATATGATAGCAAATGTCCAGATGGTGTATTCCATCACAGTTGAACTTGCAGCAGTTGATGTGGTGTCCATGCATACATGCTTCTCTGAACCCAAAGGGCAAATACACAGCCAGCAGCCCCGGACCAAATGTTTGGATTTACAGACCTGTAGATCAGGTTGCAACAGATAGTTCATGAATCTCGCTCTTGTAGTCCACCCTTTACAATAGGCCCATTGCTCAGTGCTCACACGTTCTACGTCTAATATCATTGGTTTTATTCCCCTCAACTTCTAGGTACCATATGGCATACACTGAATCATCCATAGTAGCGTTGATCGTGGTGTGTATTGTCTTTGAGACCAGTCACTGGTTTGACCGCTTTGGAATGATCCCTGGCTTGACAGCACACTGATAAGACCCGCTCGCACGAGGACAGGCAGATACCGAGGTAAACGGTTATATGCACTGTAGTGCGATGGCCGGTTAACAAAGCAGTCATATGGTGCATCCCTACACACATGATACGAGGATGCTTGTTTCTGAAGGTGCCTCCAATGCGCAACTGCGACGGTGGCGCTCACTCGGAGTATGTGCTCGCACCAACCAGGGCACGCCTGGATTAGGTTGGACGGCTGATGCAAACGCACCGCGCGTTCCACGGTCCACTGGCACGTGCATACGACCACTCAAGGAACCCGCTGGCACGAGGACGTGTACAAACTACGCGATACACTAGGGCGTATGCACCTTAATCAATGCATGAGGGCACATGTACCTTAGTCAATGCATGAGGGCACATGTACCTTAGTCAATGCATGAGGGCACATGTACCTTAGCCAATGCATGAGGGCATATGTACCTTAGTCAATGCATGTGGGCATATGTACCTTATTCAATGCATGAGGGCACATGTACCTTAGTCAATGCAGGAAGATGCATGTGGATGACCTTGGCGCGATTATCGGGACCAACGGTGCAGCGCTGGCAAGAGTGGAGATAAGCATCGACCGCTTAGCTGACAAGGCGCACAATTAGAACTTGAGCTGATCAAACCTGTCGACCGCTTATTCTGTGCGCGCGCCACAAGCAGTAACTCAAACAATGGCCAAGCGCTGGCGCACATGTGAGGATTGGCGGTGGAGATGGACTCGCAAAAAGAAAATCTCAACTGAATTGCCAATGCAAATGTGGCAGGCGGAGACCCACCGAAAGCGCTAGTAGGGCACGAACACGAGGTCTCTGTGCTGTTGTGGATGTACGTATGACCAGCTGAAAGTGGCCAAGCAATCGGTCGACACTACCAGAGAGCGCAGCCACATACACACAGACGATTTTAAAGATACCGACAGTACTACTGTGTTTCTGGGCTGCGGAGTTGCTTCTGATTTGATTGCGATGCGGTCCATTTAGCGACGGGTGTTCGACTGATCGGCTGTCCCTGCCGGCAACATATGGCCTTGACACATATGTCGTTCACAAGAAGAAGATATGCGCACTGCAGCTCAGTGACAGTATTGGCTATGCGAGTGCAAGTCATATGGCCAGTTTGCAGAAATGCCAAGTGAAGGAAGCGCACACATTGGTTGTATACACAACTACACATGCCGTTCCATGTTGTCGTCCCGACTTCCCCTTCCATCAGCCAATTGTTTGGATATGCCGTAGGTTTCCACCCAACCGGGGTTCGGTGTCCAAAAGGGACTTCCATACGAGCGGTGTAGCATCACCCGTTATCTGCTGCATTCTCAGCCCGGTGACGTACAACATCCACAGCAAAATGCGACATACCCCCGAGTGGAAGCAGCGCGTAGATCGAGAGTTAGTAAGTAGTATGGTGTTGCACTCGATGTGAGCTTGATCGAAAGCAAAATTGACCGAGGCCTCCGGCAGATGCAGTCCTGCCTATGACAGCTCTTATACACAGTAGCAGACCATACGGTATAGGCCCTTTCTAGGGCTACAGCACGAGTGTATCGCATCAACGAGCCAGGGTACGGCTTAGTGCCGGCTAATATCCATAGGGCGATCGACGTAATTTCGCAGTGTCTTCACGGTATCACCTGAAAGAGTTCGAGTGGAGACATAAGGAGGTGGAGAACACCTTTCATTATACGGTCAGGACCGTGGGGGATTGGGAATTAGATAGAAGCAATTCAGAGAACACTTTTGTGATACAGAGTCTCTCCCGGGTGTACTTACATCAGGTAATCGTATTTTAATGAACGTGTTCAAGAAGATAGCTACTCCACCACGGCCAGTGGAATGATAGCGAAATAACACAAACCAAAAAATAGGAGACTCAGCACGTTATCACACATCACATGAACAGCCGGAAGTCTATTTTATTGCAATTTCTATATCGAGCGACAATATGGTACTTGTATTTAGAAGCTACAGGCAGATCGACCTGAAATTCTCTGTAAGAAGACGGAAGACAATATTCTTTTTGGTGCATAGTCAGTCATGGGAGGTCAACCTGGACGGACATAGAACGAGCGCTCGACACGTGCGTAATAAATTTCCAAATATAGAGCATTCGACACGTGCGTATTGAAATTTCCAAATATAGAGTACTCGACACGTGCGTAATAAAATTTCCAAATATAGAGCGCTCGAAAGGTGCGTAAAAAAACGTGGCTGAGAAGCCGCAGGGACCGAAAGCGTCTAATCATAGGGGTAATTTATTTGTTCATATTCAGACATTCGGGCCTATTGATTATTTTGTATAGGGTCTCAAATGGGCAAAACCCATTCCAGCCGGAAAAAAAGGCGTCACGTAATTTTTTTGGCGACGGACAAAAAATCGGGATAATGTCGACAGGGACTTAGAAAAGCTTTCGCTTTCAGTAATAAAATTTCCAAATATACATGGCATAGAAACGCGACAAATATTCTTGCCTTTCTGTTCCTTGAGATTACTCAAATAGTACAAGTGCTAGGACGTATCTACGTATTGGCAATCTATACAATGGAATGTCACAGATGATGTAGTTTTTGCTTAGAAAACTTGAGCATTCTGCATGCCACCGCAGTCCTACCACATGATCGGTTTGAAATGAAGCACGCACTATTCATCCTTTTCTTCCATCCTACAATCCATCGAATTATCTATACACTTGACGTATTAGTATGTCATAACGTGAAAAGATGTGACACGACTCCTGAAGATAAGCTTGGCATTTCCAACTGGTGCGCATGTGGTGCTGCCTTAGATGAGTACTGATACATTAATGGCATCTCATATCGGGTGTGCGATTGTACAATATCACATATACACACCCATTGACACGTGCACATACGTACAGGTATGTTCACCATCCACATCACAGATTAAATTGTATCGAATCAAGAATACAGTAAAGATACTACGAATTGTCCTGATGATGCCCTCATATATAGAATGGAGAAGAGAAAGTACACATTAATATGCATGATGCTCTATAATTCGATTAATATACGCAGACAGCATTTCGAGTACATACAAACGGCGCGTTTGCAATTGCATATAATCGAATACTCCTGTATACATGTGCGCGTACGCTGATACATCTACATCTTGCAATAACGGACATGTATGGAATCATATACAGCTTCAAATCACGCAACCAAAAGCTCACAGTTGCGTTGTCGACATGTGAAACGTGCTTTGTCGGAGAATCTTTGTCGCAAATCTTGTCAATTGTCTGAAGCTTCACATTGCGAAATGAAGAAACACTGATCTACCCAATGCATGAGCGTATTAGAAGGTACATCAAACATAACAATAATAGAGACAACCAGGCGAAATAAAGCATAAACACATTACCAACATATCACCAATACATACAATCAGGCGAAACAAAGCAGATACATATCATAAATATAGATAACCAGGTGAAATAACGCACAAATATCTATGGCCAATACCCAGTTTAACTTTGCCGGGAACAATCAGTGCTAGAAGTCCCCATCCGGTACAACCCCTTCCGTGAACTCCTCGGCCGATGCCACAGCGCTGTATCTCAGCAGCAGGATGATAGCCAACTTCGTCATGTTCAGTAACAGAAGCCGATTGACGCTCATTATCACAGGATCCTTCGTAAGCAGGTTCGGTTGTAAAGTAACAATGGCTGTCTCATTGGCCCTTCCTTGTCCCGTTCGCCATATATCTACTAGATAATCGTGTGTGCTCTCCGATGCATGCTCGCGCCCACTCCACTTCACTAACCTCCACTTATTCTTACACCAACTGTCTATACTCCACTTCATTCCGTGCTCCTGACTACATCTGGCCGCCGTATGGATAGCCATAAACCGCTCACGCCACAAAATAAGTTCCAACAAGGCGAACGTAGTTGTCTGCTTATCCGCCAGCGGCGCGCGAATATCCTCTAACGCCAAGCCGTAGCAGTGGAACAGCTTCAGGTAGGCATGATGCGCAGGGGGCAGCACCGCTTCCATCTTCCGCAACTTATACAGAAAGTCCTCTCGACTCTCCGTGACATTCGCTAGTCGCAGCAGTCTCTTCTCTGCGCTTATCTGCACTGGCATGTCTCCTTCATTGTCCGAGCCCTTGAAACTACAGCCAGGGTCCTGGCATATCCACACCCCGGGGTCAGGCCCCCCGGACGAGTCATCATCCACATACTGTATCGAACTTGTCCGCAAACACACAGAATCGCATCCGTTCACAGGACAGTGCAATGGGCGCACCAAGTCAGGCCCGATGCACCTATTACAGCAGCACTGGAACGCGTGTGATGCCAGCAGAGCCTCTCTGCGCTCCTGCAGACTCTGGAAGATCAGCGAATTGTCGAAATAGGATACCGTCAGTTCCTCACCTTTACGTATCGCACGGGTGGCTGTATACTCGAGCGTGCCTGAGACAGGCCCACCCTTTACGTTGGGGTCACACGAATGGTTCAGCATACTGGCATAGTAGCCCAGACCCTCCTTCGTTCCCGAAGGATCCATCGACCAGGCATTGAAATTCCGTTTGAGCATTAGACGTACTAAACTGTTTTGCGATATGTGCTTAAATTCTCGATCTATTCTGTCTTTTGGTGTACACTTGCACTCGCAAACGCACTCGCCTTCGCCCGTACAGTCTTCGACATATCTCATGTCGCTATTACTCTTCTTGCTACCTTGCTTACTACAGTCGCACGTACACACACTTTTATGATCGGGCACTATCATCTGTGCCTGGAGTTTCGCCAGGCTTGCAGCCGTATTTTTTGCATACAAAACATTCACATTATCTGTGTCAGAATTCGGGGTGTACAGGTCGTCAATCTTCCTTCTGGTCTCTCTATCTGCGCTTAAGTACGCCTTCAAGAAATTCATTGGTGCCTCATCCTCTTTGTGAGACTCCCACATCAGCAAGGGCTCCCTCAGCACAACATCTCCCATCTTAAAGTCACGCAGAGCTATCAATACCCTACCCATACTAGATTCATATGCCACCTTGAATCCACACAAGGGTGCGTGTCGGTCTCTATCCAGTGCCGCACACCTCGCACCGCAATAGTACTCGCGCTCGCAACCTTTACACAGAATCAACGTGTCTGAGATTTCTGTACACTGCATATTACTACAGCGCACGTGGGTCACTTTAACCTCATCTTTGGGTTCAAGGGCTTGCAAGTTCTGTGAATCTGCTTCTACCTCTGGCTGCTGCCCCTGTAATTGTAAATCCTGCTTCTTTTCGTTATTGTCGATTAAATTGCCATATACAAGTGCACGGTCCACAACCCTGTCGAGCTCACAGACATCGCATCTATGTAATACATCGGGAACACTGAAACAGAGGCTATCACTGCACACTTTGAGACCTTTTCGCTTAGTACTGATTTTACTGTCCCCTACAATGATTTCGTGTACGGGATGCACCTTCTCGCAACAGATAACCCCGTTCGCACACTCCATTTGTGCAATCGAAGGAGAGCTCCTTCCGGGTATTTTTAAGGATCTCACGCTCAATACATCCTCGTTCCTGCTGCACAAATCTCTGCCATCCACAAGTATTAGGGGATTGCTATGACTGTATACAACACTACTTCGTCCCGCAGTACCGTTGCATCGCAATAGCAGTTCGCAACCGCTCTGTGTGCGGACAATTGTAGACATCGTCAAATGAATTGTGGTAGATGTGTTTATTACAGACAGTACAACACTATCGAATGGCACGAAGACACTCTAACCTCAAATATATGTAGAAGTATATGTTCCGAGGTTGGTGTCGGGTGCACTGGCAAGCCCTAATAGGATATATTGAAAGACGCAATGTAGACTATGCTGTGAAATTATCATTTACTAAAATATGTACTCGATAGTCATTGCCTTCCGCATAAATAGACTTTTAAACTACAGAAGAAGGCTACGCAATATTGTCAAATTCACTTTAAATATTATGTCAAAAAAGTATGCATAAAAAAAAAGCATTTCCTGTCAGGCGACAGCGGTCAGACTCGACACTGACGTCTGGACTCTGAAGTCAACATTCTACACTTTTCAGTTCTCATGAGTGTCATGAGCTGTCACTTTAGCAGTCTGACACTGACAGGTCTTGTTTTTTTATAATAATTAAACTTTTAGAGGGACTCGATAAATAGTTGACATATGCAGTTCGGTACATACTTTAATTTCTTCGGAAGCAGTTCGGTATGTTTGGTGTATAATATATACCTGTGACAGAAAAGAAGAGCTACATATTCAAAAAAAAACAAAAAACAACATCATCATCATATAGATAGGTATATGGCCTCCAAGAGAAAATACGGACTATTGTGAACAAAAAATAAATATCATAAACACGAAACATTTGTTTGCTTGAAGGATCAGTTCCACTGTCCACATATTTAATTCACGCGTGTCGGATGGTGGGAATGCAGTTGAGGCTGGTGCGTCTGGGCATGGTGCTCCTATGCTTATTTGCTGTCGTAACGGTTTCGCATGAGCATGGGCACGCACACACACACACGCACGGCGATGCTAACCCTGCGAGTAAGTATTCACGGTATGTGCTGTTTACTTGTTGACAACTGTTTCCTGAGCATGTCACAAGGCTCGTAATGGCTCAGTTTATAGCATGTGAATGGCGTAATTTTTATTTGTATTAGCTGTCTTCTACATTTACATAGGCTTTCTTGAATAGCTTAGTGTAATTTTTTTGACTCTGTACAAATACACTGATAAACTATGTGAGAAAGCTAACGTGTGTGGCACTTCAGTGAGAGTGGTTTTGAATTCGTGTCCACACGACTATGGAGCTGATTGTAGGAATAACTTCTGAGTATTCCTGGCAAGAACCAAATTGTTGTGACTTTTTTTTGACTTGCTTCTGGTTGAAAACATAGAAATCGAAGCGTACAGAATGAAGTATAGTAAGGGATATTCTTAATTATAAATATATAGAGTCGTATATAAGCGCTGAGACCTTTATATACCTAGATAGCGTTTTGTGTAAAATAGGGAGTCGTAGGAAGTCTTGACATTTTGTTATTTCTCTACTTGTGTATGCCTGAGATATATGTTTGTGTGCCTGTACACTAGCCAAAGTTCACTGTTGTTTTTATTAAACTTGTATACGGATTTTTTTACGTAACCTCATGGTGGTTAACAAATATATGCATAAATATGTTATATATGTTATGTATGTTATGTATGGATGCTACACACACACACACACACACACACACACACACACACAC